AAGATACAGTTTAAAAATTTTGAAATACAAAATGCATGTAATTATTTTTTATCTAATGAACACATATAAAATTGAATATATTATAATTTGTTATACATGATTTAAGATTTGATTGATAAACTAACCGATGAATTTAACTTTTATATATTTCTCTCAGCGAGTTTTTTATATACCCCAGCCGGACGGTGCGCGTCACTGTCTCACGGTAAACATGTCATCCCTGAAATTGCAAGAAAATGTCAGTGTAATTTTGTAACTGATTGTTTTTTAATTTTATACTACACTATATATTATATATTGATTTTATTGGAAAATTTTATAAATTTTAGTCTATAATTGAAAATATTGAATATTAAAGCTGATATACACATACAATGTATGTTGCATCTTTAGCATGATATAACGTTAACTTTTAAATTCTTTTTTAACGAACACAACATACACTATATGATTGAAACTTTCATGTACAAAATATTTATTTTATTTGAATATATTCAACACATGTGTTTACATTTTTAAAAAAATTTATTTAATGATAATATAAATAAAAAATTCAAAAAAAAAGTAAAAAATATTTTTAAAAATTAACTCTAGCATCAGACTTTTAAAAAAGCAACTTCAAATTCAAAATATTAGTCTTAAAAAAATTAAAATGAAATTTAAGAAAATCAACCCAATCACCTTATAAATGCCTGTTAATATTTCAGTTTGACTACAGAAATGAATATCAAAATATTTCTTATATTTGAAATTAAGTCCAACATTTAAATTATTATAAATATACATATTAAGTAATAAATATATGATATTACATATCATATGACACATAAATACAGATAAAATGATATTTTTGATAAAAAATGAATTTAAATATATTTATGTTGTTTAATATAATTTTTATTAATAATGAGAATTTTGATGTTTATTCAATAATATTACCACGAGGATTTGATTTTTAAATTACATTTTATGTGTAATAATGAAAAAATTGCAAAGAATATGAAAATAACATTTTTTTCTAAGTTTGAATTCAATTTCATTTCTTTGTTATCAATGTTCCAGTTTTTTGAACTTTTTGTAGAATAAATATTCAAACCTGTATTTTATTTTTGAATTTTTTTTTTAATAACTGAAATATATTTGAATCAGGTAAAAATATTTAACGTTAATTTATGTTATTTAAATTTTACTTATTTATACATACAGTTTAATACATATAACAAAACTCAAATTGAATCCAACTTGTAAACATCATCACAAATTACAAAAAGAATATCGAAATTATATTGAGATTAAATAAAAGATGATGGTTTTAAAATTTGCAGTTTAAAAACACAAAATCACATTATAATAAATAATAAGTTTTTTTAATTATTTCATCTAATGTGTATTTTTATTTCAAATGATCATAAACAAGTTTCAAGTTTCAAATATTCTTTGTCAAAAATTAAAGTTTTAGTTAGAATAAAAATTGATATATCGTTTCATCTTTTTAACCAAATAAATCTTGAAAAGTGAAAAATGTAGATTATTGTTATTTCAGTTAAAATCACAAAAAAATATTGATGATAATCATCAACTTTAAACCAGTTGTCATTTATATGTGAAGAACGTATATTCAAAATATATAGATAATTTTCACTTTATTGTGTTAAATTTAAATAAAATTTCACATCAAATGAAGTAATCAAAAAACCATTATTGGTTATAATCATATACCTATGTGCTTTTATATAGCAGACATGTAAGAAATAATTTTCTATATAATTTAATGGTAATATTGATACTCGTTTTATAATAGTTGTTAAAAATTTTATCATAGAAAAAAAGATAACAAAACTGATTTTTTAAACAAATCATTTTCAAACTTATCAGTTTTGAATAAAATCTTATAATTGATATTTATGATGATTGAATTTTCATAAATATATACTCAGAATAATATTTTATTGAAAAAAGTGGCTTAAACATTTACTTGATTTGACATGGTTCATCTTGATAGATCCTTATTATGTCAAGCAACCTCAACAATCTTGACACAAACAATGCGTCAGTCATTTCAGCCAACATACGTCCACAATACACACCGTTCTTTATCTATTCCGTAAAGAGCTTCTGCGAATTCTCCTATATTGTGCTAGCTGATTAATCTCACTAACCATAGCGAAAGTAATTAGAATTTACTAAGACATGACTCACGTAGAAGACAATAACCTTTCATTTTTTTCAGTCAACATAAGGGTTTACAGCAGATCTTAAAAATATTAATAATAAGATGAGAATTTCAATTCAAGAAAAAAAATTAAAACATATGATAAGAATGCAATTGAGATGATGCCAACACATTGAGTATAGTATAATTCATGGAAATAAGTAATTCATTGTGTTCACTACCTATGTCAAAAGCATTTATAAGTCATACTACTTAGCCTTCATAATTTGAAGAAGATTTGAGAAAAACGAAGTGGTCACAATCAACATTATTTTCACTACAACGTAGCTGCAGTAATTTAGGTCCAAGAATCTCCAGAACTCATCTGTTAAATCTTGTGAAATAGGAAGAAGTGTTCTGAGACCCCTCCATTGAGGTTGTTTTCGACTCGTTCGAACCAGAAACTTCACATGGATATCAGTTTTTGATCACTCATTGTGTTGTATACTTTATCCCAGTTGTTCCCGTTAATCTACGTAGAGCACTAATTCCATCCATCCACATGAGAATAATCACATCTGTCAATACTTTTCGGATGCTTTTGAAAGATATAGACTGATTAAACAGAAAACTGTTCAAATATATTCTAGATTATGCTAATATTGGGATGTTGCCTCAGCTTACCCGCTTGGTATACTTCCTGCTCGTCTCGATGGGGTCTACTCATCCCTTTTCTATGATAGTTGGTGCCCCATCTATTAATCAGTTCTGGTTGTGTAATTTGAAGTCCCAACAATCGCTCCACTTATCATTCACGTAACGAACTGGTAGTCGATGAGAGTTTAGTAAAGACGAGAAAATATGTTTTAAGACATTCTGTATATCCGATCATTCATGACCTACTATTCTGTTCCATCAGTACTTCAATCAGCCAGAGGACTGTTGTGGTAGGCTACGTTCTTTACTATAACATATCTACGATGTATTACTGTCGATTGATGACTGTAATACAACGTTTTATCAGGATATTTTAATATAACTTCTTTTTAATTTACATTTATACTCGCTTTTTGACATTCTTTGAACCACGGAACTTTTCTACTTCTGATTTTTTCATTATGTGTCCTACTGTGTATCTGGCCTAAATATGCTCGTGGAACATAGCAACTCAAAGAAGGATAGAGATGTTTATGGTAAATGGTAATAGATCAAACCAGTGGTACCCAAAGGGTCAAAGGACTGAAAAACACAATACAAGCGAAAAACCACAAACAAGAGGAAAGACCCTTGTGCCAGCGGGCTCCATCACCACGAGAGCTAGCACAAAAAATTTCTCAACATATGAGAATTTTGCACACCCCCTCCGCCAACGCGATACACAAGCTGTCTAGGGTAAACCAATTCTTAAGGATGATGATCACCGCCTGTTTTCTCGGCATTTCGTGCTTTAACCTCGATATTTTGCGGGTTCTTACTTGTGTGGAGTATCCAGTACACTATTTCCATGGCAAGACGTTTCCTCCTTGGCTTACAGCTCGTCTGTGGATAGTAAGCTTTATCCTGTCGCCTACCGTCAACCTAAATTCCTTCTCTCCGGTCCGCTAACTTATCTACACGTATACAGTATTCCTCTTCTTAATTCCTCTTGGGGACCCTTGGAACGAGAGCATCGAATTCCCGAATTTTTCTTTGAAAACTGAAGTACTTAGGTTCCACATACGGCGACTATGCACTCTTCCGAGTTGTAACTAAACATTTATTTTGTAAGTTTCAGCAATTAGAGTCATTCATAGAACTCTTGACGGATATACCACAAATAACCATAAAAAGTACAACCCTGCCAAGGAATCCATTACACCGACTTTTTCCTCACAGTAATAAAGAACAAATCATTATTTGCTCTGATATTAGCTCGTGTTATCTACGATTTTTCCTACTTTAGTACACGGTGGGTCCGTAGGAGATTCCCAGAGTTTCCAAATATGTTAGACCCGCTTGTACACCTTGCTGGGATCCTTGTTGTGAGCCACATTGGCACTAGTGAGTCTCTAGACAACAGTCAAATAAGCCGACATGGGGTGTTCTGTGTACAGCGTCCCACTATTCTTCCGGGGAAAGCCCGAAGGATATTGTGGCATGTGGGGAATAGGGGAAAACGGCGTGAAACCGATAGCTCTTAGATGATTGCAAAACCGTGTAAATGTGTACCGTAAATTTCAATTAGTGGTCCTATTCAGGCTCACGAATGAGTCAAGACCTGATAAATAGCCATGATTGTTTAAGGTAAAGCGAAGTTTGACGGAACCTGTTCAAAACGTAATCTAAGTCCTGAACCTCAGGATCCAACTCCACAACTGCGGCAAATGCTGCCCCCTATTCCAAAAGCCGTGATCGAGGAAAGTCGTCTGATCCCCGATAAGATTCCGCAACAAAGAAACGATCATGTAGTGTCAACCACTTTCATATGCCACGGACGACACGTGTACAGACATTATCGCAAAATATATACTATCCAAAAACGAGTGGGAAGGAAAATCTACGGTATGACTTCTTAAGAAGCATAATGGTGAAGTCCAGTACTCTATCCATGTCACATAATAATCTGCTAAAAATAGGAAAGAAATCCACTTGCACAAGAAATAGAAATCATGCCCAACACCGCGGTGTGGAGAAGTACTGACACCTTGTACGACAACTGTGTCTTCAACGCGTTGACTGAAATTTGACTGTCATAGTTAAAGAGATGCTTATCGAGGCAGAACCAATTTAGGAAATAAGAATCCGCACCCTAGACTTGGACAAATCATTTTGCAACAGTTTTGCCAACACACAATCTAAGCACGGAGATATGACCAAGTTTGTGGACGTCATTCAAGATGTGAAGATGAATGTTACAGAGATTTTACCGCTCCCGGTTCTGCTGATGATGATCGGAGCATCACTTAAAAAGACTACCACCCTCGAGTGTTATGCAGGTCCCAGGCCTCTTGAGCTGTAGGCCTTCATCCGTATGAAACTAAAGGCACTCATTTGAAGGCCTCAATAAAGTATTGATGCTTGAGCAAATAGAACTAGCGACCCCCTTGTCTTCTTCTACGCAAGAAAATTCACCCAGTGCTGCAAACCCGCTTCGTCTGATTGGGTCTTGTAGCCTTATATTACAGTTGCTGACCGAATTAATTCTACTGCCGAAGGACCTGTCTATGCCTTCCTACAGGACTGCAAGACTATTGATCGGCTTAGATCAGTTTTAAAAGATCTCAATGTTCACATGCCAGAAAGCAAAAACAAGATAAAGAAAACTATCCTGTCTAAAAGAATGGTATGTTATAGGCATTCGTTTCAAAAGGGTCGTGATAAGGTTAGGCCTCTCAAGATCGTGATGTTGAAGGAGGACCCCTCGTTTGCCGTGTGTTGTAGGAGGTACAGTGAGTGCACTTGTGTGCCAGTATATGAAACGCAACCTGACTCGTGATTCCGCAGTCATTACACAGGATCCAAACCTTCATCAAGGAAATGAAGTAAAAGTCAATCAGGCGAGGGCAGAGCTCATTAGCGCGTTCATCATCAAAACCGGGGCGTGTTGAAAATACTCTTCACAAAAAGATACTTTCGCAAAGTTCTTTCTAGAAAACACGAAGTCGAGAAAGGAATGGCATAGTTAGCAAAAATTCACCAGTTTGTTCAGGTAGGCCTCTGGCATGGGTGTCGCAGCAACCTGGCGGAAACATTAAAACGCGGCAATATTCAGTAAAAAGAATTCCTCAATTACTTCACTTTGCTTCCGGGCCAACGACTACACAGAGGCCAACATAAATACAACTACAAAGGACACTCACCTCTTGATCCAATCGCTCCCACATTTTCGTCATGTCACAGACAGACTTCAAGCACATTGGGCAAGAATACCTGGTGCACAAAAACATGGTTTGCTTGAGTTTCAGGCTTTGACAGAATGACCATGCCCCCGACTGAGTAAAATGTAAGTGAAACTTTTCCACTAATGTTTGATGCGACAGGCACAAGGTCGGTCAGGAACATGTCAAGACTTTCTCAAATAATGGATATGACTAACACGATCCTGTGAAATAAGTACATCATCCAACAATGGAAGCTTTGGGTTACTCAATGTCGGAGCTTATGACATCTTCCAAAAGCTTCCGTTGCAAGAGGGACAGGATCACATGTTACCAATCCTTACACCAGGAAAACATCAGAACCTGAACAACATGTAGGTGAACGCAAATTCACTTACTGAGAATGTTTTTGCATTTCCTTCAAGCATTCCAAATGCATTGTGTGTCCACAAGGCATGACAGTAATGTCTTTCATCGAGTCGAAAAGATACTGCAACAAATTTAAATGCGCTTTAGGTGAGCACTTTGACTGTACCAAAGTGTAAGTAAGACAGTACGGATACCAGCGAGCAACATAGAAGTAATTAATTATTTGAAGTAATTACAAATGCACTGGGTCGTGATCCTATATACCTCAAAACATACAGGACAGTTGTGGTGCATAGATTTCTCCACACAAGGATGACCCTGTTCTAACACGGTTGAATAACAGCAACCTGAAATTTCACCAGGCAAACAATAAGAACCTCGTTTGAGTATTGTAAATATTAAAGTGGCATTGATGTTTCTCTCAGGTCCTGGGTTGACAACAGCCCCTAAACAGCAATGTTCTCTTTTTTAACTAGCTTTGTCCGTCTGGCTATATTACTCATTGTCTAATCCTCCTAAGGTGTAACGCAATTTGATATGATCTTCACAATAAGCACGTAGATCTGTGCAATCAGAACAAGGATATAGTACAAGATACTTTCAACAATCCAAAGCTGCCCCCATAATAACGCATTTTCGAAATAGAACGGGCTTCAAAGTACTCACCACATTTCTCGCAGTGGAAGAATTTATCTCGTCCTCCAATTCTGAATAACCAAGCAAAATTGTCTCAGGCAACATCGTTGCGACAATGACTATATTATTTGTGTAAACAAGCCCAGAACAGCCATGTAAGAGGTCCGAGAAGAACAAAAACAATTCTTATACCTGCAAATACCACATGAATCGCAGTGATATTGCTCTTTCTTGGTCTGCACATGTAACAGCAGATTATAACAGTCAAAACACTGTCCACTAAATAAGGACATCCAAAATCGAACCACATGGCAAGAGGCATATTATGAGATTGGTGAGAAAACAAATTCCACAGATAAGGTGAATCTTGGATGCTTGCAACAATCATATGTACAGTTATTGAATACCTCATCATCGTAGAATTTGCATTTATCACAAAAGTACTCCCCCATTCGCACTCCACAGTTTATGCACTTTTGACGGACCTGCAGAAATAATACGTTATATCTACTGATCTCCCAATCCAGATGTAAATAAAGAAACACATGCACCATATGAACCAATAATAGTTTTAAGAATTTGAATTAAGCAATGCTTATGATCCTCACCTCTTGTTCAGTATTGCAGAGTGAACAGATGACCTGCACATTGTAGACGAAAATCAATTAGCATCCGGTATTAAATTCAAACTTGCAAACTCTGGAAAAGGGAAAGATCTGGATCAAGATTCAATCATGTTCGTTCAACCCAACTACGTGAGTATTTACCGACTGCACTGCATGTCTCGGAAGGTCGTGGCGTTTTTTGGGATCCCGCTCGTTCGCATTCTGCATCCGAAGTTTATTCACGAGATCAGACAGAGACATCCCACAAGAGCAATCTACATGGCAACTAATGCAATAACATCATAGAATTCATGATCCACTAAAGACCGCCGTGACGTCGATACCAAAAAGCTCAGCAGTTAATCTTCTTACTTTTGCTTCGTTGTGGCAATGACGGCAGTCAAAAATTTCGCCGCAGCAAGGAGAGCGAATGCGGCATCTTCTCCGATAGTGTACACACCTGGTGAATCGGTGAATTTTAGGTTGGTCAAAAAGATCGAAATGAAATACGATCGCTTACTCACAAAATTATGTCCGCATGTTCACTTATGCATAATATGTGTTGGTTAATTGTCAACAACTCCAATAATGACTTGGCCTAAGAAACTGAGAATCAGCGATGGTCGATTTCGCGTTACGATACAAGTGGCTACTTAAATTAGTTTAGGTCAAGAATTAGACCAACCCATATTCCAGTAAGCCAAGAGACTCCGACGTTTGTTGCTGTTCTACAGTTCCCGCCGGGGGAGCTCTATGGCGAGGAGTTGAAGAAGCTGAAGATTCTTCATCTTCGGGCGCTGCTTGCACAACTTCTAAGTCCCCGTCGTTGAGACCGCTGATGTGAGACGAGGCGTCGTCCTAGAGGATGGACACCATTGAAAATCGCAAGGCAGGTCAGATACGTGGTCTCCCGATGTATAATATCTCGATGGAAAATGTCAAACTGAGTCTGCCACCGTCGATGTCCATGCAAGTGGATCGGTGGGACCTACAACTGAGTACCCCAACAACTGAAAGTACAGGATGGGACTTAGAAGAGAATGGATAGAGCGGTCATTCAAAATGCCCAATTTCGAGAATTTTGCAGCCGAGGACGCGAGAATCCATACCTGTACCAGGTGCTGAGACTGCAAGGCATGATCTCTCATCGCCAGGTAATCTTCCGACGTCCGAAAGGGAGAAGTCAACCCTTCCCGTCCAACAACCACAACCGACATTTTTCTCTCTACCAAGCAAATTGAACCTAATTCCCCAGATGCGGTCCCCGGCAGTGGTATGCCCACGCGTTACTTGCCCAATTTTACGCAAGGAATCGGTGCTCAACTCTACTAGTGTGGCACCGAATTCCTGCTGAAACCCTCCCTACCACATGGAGATAAAAATCCAGAGTAATGCAAGTCCTGAGATGACTAGTACGCCTTGACGCCGTTCTGTCCCGCTCAGCGACGAGAGTACGAAGATACAAAGAAGACACACGCACAAAGGGAGGCACTCAACGGAGTTCACTTTGACTGCCTTGTATTCGCGTATAGCTTGGACAGGGGGTGTAAAGCAACACAGACAGCAACAACTGATCAAGCCGTGGGCAGAGTAGGCTGGAAACGAAAAAGGCACGATGAGATACGAGGTCTTTCAAACGAGATCCGGCTCGTAATTCTGCTACATTCAGAGAACTTGAATCCACGAAACGAGATGTAGTGTAGACCAGAACAAGAAGTCTGAGAACGAACGCAGGAAGAGAATGGCAGATATCTCCGGAAGGTTTGAGATCGGTTCACAGTCAGCAGCAGCGGCGGCAACGGCAGCAGAAAGAAGAAGGAATGGTGACTGCGTGTGACTCGCACACCATACGAAGCAAAATTAATGCTTCTCCCACGCAGGTCCAACTGAGCAAGATGCCCAACGAGGCCACGACGACGACAACCACCGCTCACAGTGAACAGATCGATCAAGGAATTGATCACAGAAACTGCTCCACACAAACCACGAGCACAACAGTGAAGTAAGTCCTCGCCCAACGCACAATCCGCTACCGTCGCAAGATCAACAGATTCCAATTGGCACTATACAACTTCTCCAGCGGTCCCAGAATCCGCCACTTCTGTCCGCCTTACCTCCGCTCGCCTCCGCAGGCCTCCTCCGCACGCAGCGAGCTCGCAGTCAAGCAGAGCACCAAAGTCTCGGCGCCCTCGAGAGCTTCGGCTGCAGCCACTGCGGGACGCGCAAGATTGAATCCGGAGCACGGGCCGCGCTCGAGAATCAAATCCTGGAGCCGAGCCAGACCCCGCGCCTGCCCCACGCTCCGTCCTTCCTCCTCTTGCTCTTCGCCCTCGCCCCAAAAGCAGCCGATAGCAAGTCAGATTTCGTCCGGACTCCCGGGCAGAGCGTTGGTCAGAGTTACTCACACGCTCCTCCTCTTTTTTCTCCCAGCGTGTAAATGGCCTCAGAGTTTTTTACCCCGCCCATACCCCCGGGACCCGACAAACCGAACAACCTCCCGCAGGCCCCACATCGGATAATCGCCTTTCCCTTCTCTCCGTCGCAACGATTCGCGCGCTCGGCGGCGTGCCCGTTTGCTCTGCTCTGACGGAGTCCGATTCGCAGCCGCATTTCGGTCAGCTCCGTCGAGGGTCCGGCGACAGCCCCGGTCCGGCAGTTCGGTGACAAGCACCGGGGCGACCAGCGGGTCATGGGTCATGACCGAACCGACAGGGTCGACCCGCTTCCGCCTCCCGGATCAGGGAACGCGGGGGCGGTTAGCAGTTCCCGGTGGGGGAAAGCCGAGCGCTCGCATCTGAGTGTAACCGGCCCCGGTCAAGTTGGATGGGAAATTAGCGGAAGGGTGTTCTCCGGTAAGAGGATGCGCTGCTTGGCGGGGTAATCCGGTGGCTCGAACAGTCGCTGCCGCTAAAATGGGGGAGGATTCAGCAAGGGAGGAGACGCTCGCGGGGCGGTGCAGAGAGCGCACAACGTGCATGGCGTGATGGAAGCGGAAGATCCGTGAGCGGTGAAAACCGGGCTGTTTTCGAGATACCGTTCAAAAGCACTGCGACACAAGTACCACGAATTGATTATTACCGGTCCCCGAAGTGGTGCGCTCTCGCAAACCGCGATATTAAACACGTGCATGTCAGATTCACTCGCGGGCCACACATTGTGGCGGGTCAACCCGGTCGCCATGTGAGGCCCAATCGACTTACCGGAAAGTCTTGGAGAAAGATTATACCAGGAAACAGAATAATTAAGCCAAAGGATGGGAAGACCCCATCAAGTCCTGCAGGTCCTGCAGGGATGAGACCAAAAGGGCACGGTAATTGCGTAAGCCCATGGATCCAAGTACAAACATCGGTCCTTGCTTCTACACCCAGTTGATATTTCGGCACTGGCTTTTGGTCTCTACCTCAGTCGATGTGGTTGCATCTCACCTTTTATTCCTTGCGTCTTCCCGATCCCTTTGCATTGACGTGCTTAGAATATGAGGAATAAAGTGCATTGTGGCCGCCAGAAGACGAGCTCTTGATGGGGTCTTACAAATTGGAGGTTTTTTTAAGTCTTTCGTGCTTTTATTTCAAAATAATTCAAAAAAGTACCTAAGCACAACACCAAGCCACGTTTGGTAAGCTATGACAAGGTGACCGGTATAAGGAGGTAATTCAGGTATGCATAGAATACTCGATATAATCATTGATGTAGAATAAACAATCTCTATCAGTTTAACGATATAGATGAGAATGAAGTGCTTTATTTGTTAGCTTTAAGCTACTCACGTGAATAATATGCGAGCCAGCGGTAGTATTCAGATTCACGAATGATGTTCATTTCACCATCTTTCGAAGAATATAAAGTATTGGAAACATTCACGTCATTCCCTTTCGATACCAGAGTTTATCGTTCATGATGGACCCAGCATTGTACAATTATAACTTTGCTCAACCGTATCATTTACGTTGTTAAATTTCTGCCTCTCGGGCCCTGTCATTTCGTGCAAAGATAAGTGTCTACGTGTTCACTGTGGGACCAACATACGATCCTCTGTTGGCTTTTGTCGGAAAGTCTCCGGATTTAGCGCATGATGTTTTCTTCCAAATTGATTAATGAGAATGATGAAATGGATTGAAAATTGATTGACTCCTAAAGTCATGCTCTAACTGAACTTTAAGACGTATCCCAAGGATTGATCTACAGATAAATCAATTTTTATATGCTTGATTATTTTGTGGAAGATTTTCATCAATCACAAAATTCAGTTCTATCATCTTCTGGCAAGTGTGTAGAATCATTTCCATTCATAGCATCCTTATTCATTCATCTCCATATATATCAGATAAGGTTTATCAGTTAGAACATTCACATGCATAAGTGATGACAATTGCACTTGAGCTTACAACATGAATTAGCTTGTAATTTTCTTCCAAATATTACAAAATTAACATTATCGACCATAATTTTGAACATGATGAAGATATAATTTTGCAAATAAGATTTGTTACAATCATATGACATAGTGTGATATAGTGCTGTCACATGGCAACTAGAAAAAAGTTGATGATGCGTGATCTCCTAATTCATTTATTTGCAAGATGTGAATTACTTCAAGTATGATCAAAGTTAAGTGATCCTCCAAAAATGACTAAGTTTGAATCAGTTTTGAGGAATGAATCAAATGATAAATCTTAAAGACGTAGTATCTTATAGTACATACAAGATGATTCAACGCTCGAGTGATAACACATCTTGAAGAGTAGAGTTGATGATAACTCGGAGGGATTTGTAACTTATGCTATATAGAGTATAATATAATGTTGAAGAGCTATCAGATGTAAAGGAGCTGAACACATATGTATTTTATAAAATGTAATACCAATATTGTCACTACCTAATATTTTAGAGATCATAATACAATAATTCTAGTGAAGTCATTTTTGAAATAAAATTATATCACTTCGATATTAGCTTTGTACAATAAACTTTTTGAAACTCATCATCTTATAAATTTAATATAATTTTCCAAATTCAGTTTGAAACTTGCCAATTTATATATTATTACAGTTTCCATTTTTTGCTTTGACATTAAATGTGTCAATTATTTCACCTTTCAAAAATTTGATTCATACCTTTCTTTCTGAAGTTATGAACACAATTTGAAGTTTGGATATTGATTAAACTAATATTTTAATTTAAAAATATGTCAATTTGTAGTATTTGTTGATATTTTGTCTATGAAATGTGGATGAAAAAATTATAGTTTTTATTTTAACTAACTAACCTTATATTTTTTAGATACCATGACTCAAATAGTGAAAGTTTTCAATTAGATTATTATTATATGTATGCATTTAGCAGTCAATATCTATGATTATCATTTAAATTTTGGAAACTTTGGATCCACAAAAAAAAAAGCAATTCAATTGAAATTTTGTAGTTTCAATATCTTCGTTGAAAAATATTCATAATGATTGTGGAGATGAGCTAAGCATGAATTTCAAAAATTTAACATTTTGAACAATTAAAGGTATTTTGAATAAAATATCAAAATAAAAAACAAAAATCACAATAAAAGTATTTTGATCAATTGCATGAATGTTGTGAGATTTTTACATGTATCAAATATTTTGAAGTACAAATTTTAAAATTTTGCCTTTTTTTATTTAAAATTATAATATTATTTTATGCAAAATTATTGCAAAATGACTTTGAATCTGTGATTTAATTTACAAAAATAAATAAATAAAATAATCATCATAATTTGATACAAAATATATTGTTTCATAGAATTACTTCTATGTTATACTTGATCAATAGAGCAATTCAATGCATCATTATAAATACAATGATCATTTAAATATATGAGATGATTGATATACTAAAGTAATGACCTCTGCATAATGATATATTTGATGATGATGAATATTATGTTATCAAGAGCAGTCAAGCTTTGTGAGTTTTGTTGACAATAACAACAACCTGGTTTTTGATCATCTTTGAATTTTGGATGATATTAAAATTCAAACAAGTTTTAATATTTTCATTACACAAAGAACATCATCTTTAAAAAAAAATATATATGATGGGAAAGTTGAAAAGCTAATTATTCATTTTTTTTGAAATTCACTCTTGAGCTAAAAGTGTAGGATTTTTTCAGTTTGAAATGATAATAATCCAATGTCAAATGCATATATATATATATATATATATATGAAAGTCAAAAATGTGAATGAATAATATTTTCTAATAAACATATTTAAAACATGAAACCATAAGATTTGGCAAGGACTTTTGTTCAACACTATGAAATTTTTTGTGCATAAAGTTTGTAATTAAGGAAATGGGGGTTTAAACCATCTTTTTATAACAAAGAGACTATATTTTTTATTATTATTTGAATGCATGCTACATAATCATGATATTGATTATATTTTGAAATAAATCACAATAAATAATTTCACAAAGGATAAATTTTGTCAATTAATACACAAATACAACCTAAATCAAATCAAGTTTGATAACAAATATGAATATTTTTTTTAAATGTCAATTTTTTATTAATATATTAATGAATATTATATTATAAATAAAATTTATTCATATTTAATGATTGAAATAATGAATAATAAATTTAAATTAAATATGTTAAAATTAAAAATATATATTTTACAAATTACTTTATTTATCTTAAAATGTGCAGTAATAATACATGAAAGTAACTTATGTCATGCTTAAGAAGACCAACCAGTGTCATGACCGTAAAAAATACACTATTGTTTGATATTCAAAAGTCTTAAATATTTAACAAAATACACAAAACACTAAATCCAAACAAATCTACGTATTTGAAAAGAAGTCCAGCAAATTTTGTGATGCAAGACAATAACTTGTTGGTATGATATACATACATTAGAGATTTAAATCATTATTTACATTTTGTTTTAAGTAAATTTGATGATGCTAATATATTTCATGTCGTTCTATCATAATGTATATATATGTTTTTTATTCAAAAAAATTCGGAATAAAAATACGTTGAGGTGATTTTTTATCATGCACGAGGTGATAAAAAAGTCAAGTCATCTATTCTAATAAACTTCAAGATGATGGATTCAAGGAACTTCAAAAATTACGATGGTCAAAATATTGAACTACATTAGCAACATATTTTTATACTATGGTTATTTGTGACTACAAAAAATTAAATTTATTTCAATTTGTCTCAACAAGTACAATCATCTAATGATTTGTATGGTGAGTTTCATGATGAAACTCTCAAACTCATTTTGCGAAATCAATTTACACTATTCTTGATAAACATATTATATATTTGTTTTAATATTGATTGTTGAGTCTAACCATATCAAATTAGAGTAATGTTAGTTATATATGAAGATGTAATATGAGTTTTGAGTGAATATGATAACAAACTTGTGATGTACAAACACAACACAGTGTTAAAGAATGCATGATGACAACATATAATTTAAGATAAACAAAATTTGAAAGCTTGTAATATTGGAACGTTTTTAGCAAATGTGAAAATTAGAGAATTTGGAGATATTCACTATCTTTAACGATCATTGAGAGTAAAAAACAATATGTAGGAGTCAAAATTTATCATTTCAATATATAATTCAGCGTCGCATTTGT